AAAGCTTCAATCTATTTCCAGCTTTCACTTTGGTAGGTTATTGATAGCTTGCAACACTGTACCTCAGCAACACAAGAGAAATGATGGCAGCAGTCACATTACACTTTCCAATCAGCTATATGCTGGTTTCACATTGCTCTGCTAAAAGCCTGGCAGTGGCTTTTGGCTCACAGATGCCATCTCAAAACAATTAAATATCAAGGAATGTCATTGCTGTCTGACTCATAACAGCAATGGCAGAAATACTGAGGCACCATCGGAACTGGAGGTCTGTTTATGACCTTTCTTTTGTCTCCATTTGCAATACTGCTGTGCAATTGCATGTCAATTGTTATGAATGGCCAGTGCACCTGCTCACTTCCCTGCTTGACTCTGAGCCCAACCAGCAGTTGCAAGGCCCATACTGACCACCTATGTATCAAAATTGGAAAAGCAACCAAGGCAGAGCAAGCCTAGATATGTATGCTCTAGATACATATGTTGGTATAATTTTGTATTGGGAAGAAGACAGGTTTTCACCTGGTACCACATCACACAGTGTTGTTAGATGCAGCATCACTACAGCTGCTATAGCTCTGTCATGCATATTCCTGGTAATGTGGACACCTGTGGTTCACATTGTCTCCTCCATAAAATTGATGCTCATGCACAAATAATAAGAAAAATCAAGCCCCAGAACTGTTGAAGAAAACAAGTGATCAGCAAAGTGTGAAACATATGGACTAAAAAAAGAAGGGTAGAGCAGAGAGACAGAGGGAGAATACTGACCAGGGCAGGAATGTTTCTGTCTACAATTCAGTGAGCAGGTGTATAAAACACCCATTGAAGATCTCAAATTACTGCAAGCTGTCTGGTTTCAGCAGCTCTGCAGCATCTCTAGGTTAGCCAAGACCTGTATTCTTGGCCACTCTCCTTGGCAGCTGATCTTTTGTCCCAGAGATACACTTCTGTAGCAATACTGGAGTTTTACAGCATGGGAGTCTCCACAGACGGGCACAGCTCGTTATCCGGTGGCCCAGGCAGGTAAAACTTGTATCTCCTCTACCTGGGGAAGGGGTTCTTAGTAGGCACATATTCCTGTTCTCTGGCATGCAGCTGTTTCTACCACATCTGGAGGATCTTCCCACTCCTTCTTCAAAATGCCTTGCTTAGCATTAGTTGCTAAACAGCTAAATACTCCTGAGGCTTCCACATTATAAGGCCACCCACAGTTGCCTGTGGTGTCTCACCTCAACTTCACCCCTGGGAGAAAATTCTGGCTGATTTTCTCAGGGACAGCATCATGCCCAGTGCCAAACAGCCAGTTCTGTTGTTTTGGAAATTTGTTTATCAGAAACTGTTCAAGACACCAGCCTCTTCCCTGCTGAAGCTGACCCAAAGTGCATGAAATCCTTCTAACCCCACTAGGTCTCAGAGCTCCTCATTAGAGATGTTTCTTGCACATCTGAAGTTCTTACCAAGGAAGAGCCAAAACATACAAGTGACATTGCTTTTACAATGGGAAAGCATATACAGAGGAGCTGTAATCAATAGAGATTTACAGGCAATGAGCCAGTCAAAAAACCAGTGTTTAGCCATTGTTAAAAATTAGCAGTCTTGCTGAAACAAATGAGCTAGATTGAGACTTTGCTATTATTAAGAGATAGGAAAACCCTAATCAAAATCACATCTCTGAAATTTTTGTCTGCTGGCATTGGAGTCCACTATTCATCCTTCATTGGAGCAGTCAGCCTGCCTTTGCATGGCCCATTATCAGCCTGTATTGCTGTCCCTCCCAGTGGCAGCACTGTTCACACATCAATGACTAATACTGTATCAAATCTATTTTACTGCCAAGCAAAACAGTTATCACTGGTGAAAAAATCCAAGCATGTAAGGTTTGCTCCAGAATGTAAATGACAGCATGCCCAGATAGCAGCCTTATTGTAATTGTTTTCAGTGCTGGTAGGTTATCAGATACAATAGGATTTTCCTCTACTCTGAAACAGCAAAGAAGTTGCTGATAACATCACTTTGCTGAAAGTATTCCAGTGCTGGACAGACTAGATACGTGTTTCAAGGGACTGCAGTGGGATACTGAAAGCACCAGACTGGCCTGCGGAGTGAGGATTTTCCCTCCTTAGCTTCTCACCACAGGGAGAATGGTGGCTGCACCATGGTGGTTTAACATCAGTTGTTCCCCCTTCACGACGTATCACCCCTCTGGGTCCTTTGCCCCACCATGCATACATCCTTTCCTGCCTGCCACAACAGCACCATGCTGGTGCTAACCAGGTGCTATTTTGTCATCTGTTTTCTCTCTAGCTTCTCGTGGAATCACCCACACCAGCTTCTTGCACAGCAATCAAGCACTAGGTGCTTTTCTGAAGCCTCAGCCCTAACATAAAGACTTTTGCAGTCTATTTCCAGTTCTAGGGAGAAAACTTGTAATTCAACCAGGTAAAGTAACAGTTCAGAGCTCTTGGAATCCAATTTTTAAAGAGAGTCTAAGTGAAATCCCCAAACCATTCTGAGTCAATTCAGAACTCTGTTAAATTTTCAGACTTGGAAGATTTTGTTCCAAGATGATCTAAATTTTTGAAAGACTTTTCTTAAAATGTAAGAGGGAGTAGGAGCAAAAGAATTGTAGTAACTCTCATGAAGGAAGATATTTGCCCACTCCTAGTTGGATCTTGAAGCTGAATGACTAGCACTGAACTCTGGGAACCGGCTTTTAGGGCTATTACTTTTTCTTCATCTTTTGTAGTCTGTATAGCATAGAGACTGGCATAAACTAGTTGACATAAGACATTGACACTACATTGCCGGCATTAAGCAGCTGTAGCAGTGTGACAAGGTACAATTGCTGAACAGCTATTTCACTGGCTGCATTTTGTTTTTTCTGTGTAACAAATCTGCACAAGGCAAATTCATTCTCCCCAGTAAATGATGTGCAGAAAGTGGCATTTCCATTAGAACACCCAGTGCATAAATAAAAAAGAGCTTAATTCTCTATGTGACACAATTACTTCCAAAAGAAAAAACTGGAAATAAATACTGCAGTGAACTTATCTGCAGGAATTTGTGAGACACTAATTGGTTTTATCCTTAGTGACACTGCTAGGGTTGCATCCTGAAATACTTGGTATCGCAATGCTGTGAGAATGGGCATATTAAAAGCGCCTGAAGATAAGATGAAAATCCTGTTTAAAAGATTATGTCTAGCATCTATTTTCTGCCAGCAGCTGGTCTGTCAGCACACTACAGGAAATTCTGCTCTACAGTTTCTCAGTGAATTTTTGTTCCATCAGATACACAGCAATCATTGTGTTATACATTGAATATATGACAAATACGGAACACATTGCAGGTTGTGTGCTTCTGCTCACTAATGCAAACTAACTACTGTAGTCTTCACTACTGGAACTAGTACATCAGGAGGAAGAATGTTTATGCAGTATATCAAAATACTTGTACTGCAGATGAGGGCAATCAGACCAAAAACTCCATTGGCCTTGCTGCACAGGAAAGAGAAAAATAAGGGGTGGGGGGGTGTAACTGCTTTGAATCGTTTGTAGCAAAATTTTTCCAAGTGCTCTGAAAAAGCACGAATTCTCTCCCTAGCATTCTGCTGCCTTTTCCTTCTTGGTGTAGCAATTCCTCACAGCCACAGCAGCAGGCACTATGCAGAACAGATGATTTCTGCCCCACGAGGACCGCACCGAAGGGTACTTGAACTGCCAAGTCTTGTTACATCTGCTGTGAGATTAGGGTCTTGAGCAGTTCCTAAAGCACATTTGATGCAGGTCAAGGGAGAAACAGACCTGCGGGGAGACTGCAAGCAGGGTTTGACAGCATTACTGTCAGGCACAGGGAAGCTCTGTCACAGGCAGAGTTCGTCTGCGTTACCACAGCATTTACTGGAGCCCGCCTGCCATGGAATACCAGGCACGCCTCGGTGCCAATGTGGCAACGCGGAGCCACAATACAGCTGTCTGCGAGGGTACACCAAATTAACCGAGCACTGCACGGCCCACTGCACCTCAGGTGCGTGAAAACGGAATGGAACCACGGGGACAGACATCGTGACTCCTAGGGAAGCCGTACGAGCTCCAGACAAGAGCTGCCCTGGTGCTCATGCGAACTTCGGGTTCGGGCAAAGCCCAGCACCGATAACTCTCCGCGCCCCGCTGCATCCATAGCCCGGTCCCGCAGCTGCCGGAGGTGGCAAGAGCAGCGAATACGGCGGCAGCAGCACACGGCGCTCCTCTTCCCCGGCCCTGGCCCACGGGCAGCAATGACAACCGCACCCCTACGTGAGGACAACCCATCGCCAACGCCGCGCACCGCCCCGGCCAACACCGGGGTCCTGCGACTGGCTTCTGCTGCGGGGCTGTTCGTCAGCTTGCCTGCTGACCGTTAGACATGCAGCTTCCCTTTGGGAAGCGGCCGGGCGGCGGGAGCGTTTCACTAAAGCTGCAGCTGAGGGCGAGCAGTTGGTTTTCTGCACTCAGCCCTAGTTCCCGCTCACCAGCCTGTCGCTTTTTCATCAGGCAGTGCTGGGGGCAGCAAAGGACGGTGGCCGAGAGCGGGGGAAGGGGCTAGTATGGCGGCGGCGGTGGCGGTCGGCCGGGCGTGCGCTTTTGGCGCCTTGCGAGCGGCGTGGCGAGGTGATGTTGAGCGCATGGTACCTGGGGCACCTCCTCGGGGAGGCGGTAATCGCTTGGAGGCTTGTCTCCAGTGGGAACGGCCTGGTACAGGTGGCCTCCGCGGGACCCAGGCCCTGTGTGGTTCCCCTCAGTCTGGGGTGGTGTGGTGTGTGTCCACATATGTGCACACATGTGTATGCGCCTAAGCCTGGAGGGTGGGTTTGTTGCGTCCCTGGAGGCTCAGGGGAGACCTTATCACTTACCACTCTCTATAACTTGAAAGGAGGTTGTAGTGAGGTGGGGGTCATTCTCTGCTCCCAAGTAACAAACGATAGGACAAGAGGTAACGACCTCAGACTGTGCCAGGGAGAAACGTCTTCTCTGAAAGGACAGTCGGGCATTGGAACAGGCTGGCCAGGGCAGTGGTGGAATCACTGTCCCAGTAAGTTTTCAGAAAACGTGTCGATGAGGCCCTCAGTGGTAAGGTTTAGTGGTGGTCTTGGCAGTCCCGGGGTGATGTTGGGCTTGATGATCCTAAAGGCCTTTTCCAACCTAGCTGATTCTGTGATCTGGAGCATGACCTGTTAAGGGCAACCCCCTGCGGCCTGCTGCCAGCTTGCACTGGTATGACCTCGGCAGCGCTGCTAGGGGATAGAAGGAAATCAGAGTGTGTGCTTCAGAGATCACTGTCATCCTGAGGTGTCTATACATATGCTTATTTGTGTTTTGTAAGCCCTGGTGATGGTTTCCCCTCTATTTTATTAATTCCAGCATGGAAGAAGTACTTTGCTGTTTGTTGGAGTCAGCTCCATCTGTGAGACTTTACAGTGGTTACTGTGGCACAGTATTAAATATCTAGTGATAAGAACAACACATAGAGAAGTGGGAGCTACTTGCTACGTGTGTGAATCAGAACACACCATAGTTTCATACATTCCCTTGTCAAGTCACTCCTGGGCCTGCAGGAGCTACAGGAATCCTCTTTTATATCTAAATAATGCTAATGGGAATTTCAAAACAAACTTTTTGCTCTTGCATGTTATTCTTCTCCAGGACAGGAAGCGTAATAAATACCTCATGAAATAAGTAGCTTTACACTTGCATTGTCATCAGTGGACAAGTTTGTTGTTGTCAGTACTTAGCAGTTACCATATTTTTTTTTCTTCACATGCAAGTAAACATGTACTTCAGATCATGAATGGGCGTTAGGCATGCAGATCTTGTTCATCGTTACAGGGTTTGGGGCAGGCCAGCTGTGCCTTTGGAAATCGCTGTCAGTCATCTGTTATCAGCTGTGCACCCTGCTAATAAATCTAGGTGAACCTGTCTCAGAATCCTTTATACAGCCTAGGTAGCTTGTGTGCACTTATGTTCTCTGCAAAAGTGATAATGAACTACATGAATGTGTTTTCCAGGGGAAGCTGGCAACTGAGGTGGGAAGAAAGGCCAGATTATATTGGTAAAAGTATATTCAAGCTTGGTATTTAGAACACCTGGGAGCTGAGCATATTTTTGGCTTTCAGCAGAGTATGTCCCTTTTTTCTCCCTCACCTTCAAAAGCAAAATAAAGTTCTTAGCTTTTTTGTAGCTTCTACAGTTTCCTGAAAACTTCCTTGCCTCCACTCCTAAAAAAAAAAAAAAATTAAAAAAAAAAACCCAAACCTAAGCAGTTAATGCATTTCTGGTCTCTTTCCTTTCTCAGGGTAATTGTTAATGAAGTGATGCCCATTCCATAGTCAAACTGCAGTTAAAGCCTTGGCATTCAAGGACTTTTGAAAGCAGGCAAGTGCTGTTTCCTTGGTGGAGGGAAACATCTTCCATGTCTAGTTACAGAGTATATCCTAAGAAAGAAATACTACTTCTTTCAAATAGACCAGGAAAAGTAAAAGGCTGCATCTGCTCCTAAATAATTTATTAAAATAATCTGTGACTTCAGGTGTGACCCTCTAACTCTTTCTGGTTTGATTACTTTGGTGTTCCATGCTTAGCCCAGGTAGAGAATGACCCTTTCCATATGCTGTGATTTTAAATTTGTGGGTTTTAGCTTGAGAAATTAAGTTCTTTACACCCAAAATTTTCCAAGGCAGCTGGAGGGTTTTTAAAAAGCAGTTTATGTTTTATAGTGGTTTTGTTAAGGGATTTTCTTTTTTTTTTTAGTGCTGAATGTATGAATGTATGTAAAACTTTGTATTTAGCCAGCACTTAACAAGTCAATGCAGGGTTTTAATTGTAATGTTTATAGCAGGAATGTAAGTGTCACTGAGAAGTTAATTTTATGTTAGTGCAGAGCATGGCTAAGAGAGACGTGTCTTTTGCTGGTGGCAAGACATCAGTCCAGCAGTCATGACCTGTCTTGCTATTATGTGTGATTCAGGTTTTAGATAAGAATCCCGTCATATGTTTGGAGGATGCATAGGGAATGGAGGATATGATGCATTAGCTGTACATACTTACATGTCAAAACACTGTTTTATTGAGATGTGACATTTCAGTGTTTACATTTCATACATTTATTCTTTGCTCTCCTTTCAAAGTATCTCTTCCCTTGGTAGCAGTGTGTGTACAGAAGTATGTGAGTATATTTTATTAAATACCAGTACTCAGTGTTTCAGACTTTGAGAATCATATAGATTTGGTTAGGTTAGGTTTTGGGTTGGGTTTTTTTTTCCCTGTCTTCCTCCTTCTTTTGTCCTGCTGCAATTCAGAGACCAAGTGTCTCATCTGGTGTTCAGAATATGGTCAACAAAACTCATAGGCTTTCCTAGACATGTAATTTTGATTGCCAGCCCGAAGCTGGTATTCTCTCACTGTGAGTCTTGTAAGTATAAATTGTTCTCACTTTAAAGAAGATTGAATCCTTAAAGAAAACAGGAGATTTGTCACTGGTTTCAGTTGAAGCCAGGATCACAGTATCACAGTATGCTAGAGATTGGAAGGGACCTCAAAAGATCATCTAGTCCAATCCCCCTGCCGGAGCAGGAACACCTAGATAATGTTACACAGGAATGTGTCCAGGTGGGTTTTGAAGGTCTCCAGGGAAGGAGACTCCACAACCTCCGTGGGCAGCCTGTTCCAGTGTTCCGTCACCCTCACTGAGAAGAAGTTTCTTCTCAAGTTTAAGTGGAACCTCTTGTGTTCCAGTTTGTACCCATTACCCCTTGTCCTATCATTGTTTGCCACTGAGTAGAGCCTGGCTCCATCCTCGTGACACTCCCCCTTTATATATTTATAGACACTAATAAGGTCACCCCTCAGTCTCCTCTTCTCCAAACTATAGAGACCCAGCTCCCTCAGTCTTTCCTCATAAGGGAGATGCTCCACTCCCTTAATCATCTTAGTTGCCCTGCGCTGGACTCTCTCTAGCAGCTCCCTGTCCTTCTTGAACTGAGGATCTCACAATGGTCTTTAGCAAGTTGTTATGAGTTGTAATAGTTGGATATTGTAGTACTTTTTAAAAATAACTTTGGATCACCAGACTTCTTGAGATCAACTGAAAGTCTTCTGACCTTTTTCTATCACACCAGTGATCATTTGGCTGTTTCTTTTTCTGACATTTGACTTTTTCCTTTTCTTCTGTTTGCTGGCCATAAAATAATAACCTAGCTCACGATGTGGTGAGCAGTAGATTTGTGTGACTCCTTATCAAGGAGTGTTGTGGATGCAAGATATCTGCATGGTTCTGAGGAAATCACCTGTACTGAAAGTAGTCAGAGACTGAGAAAATATAAAGGAGGACAGTATTGTACATATTTGATGACTTTTTACTCTTCCCAAGCCAGCTGCTTATAGTACTTACTGGAGACAGAATGTTGGGCTACTTAGGCTGCTAGCCTGAGCCACTGCATCTCTTCGTAAGCCTCCAGATTGTTTCTTTTCATCTTTCTCAAAAAGATGTTAAAACTAAGAATTACTATGCCTTTGTATTAAAAGAAGTTTGTTCAAAGAAATTATCAGGAGATATGTTTATTTATAGGCCAACAGGAAGTGTGTGAAGTGGGCAAAAGTGTGCCACCTAAAGTCACGTTTGAGGTATGACAAAATACGCAAGTGTGTGAGGAAGACAGGATTAGATTTTGCCAGTTATTTTGAAGCAGTTTCCAGCTGTAGGCAACTATAGGGTGCAACAGAAAATTATAAATACTGCCAAACAGTGTGAATTTGAATTTGTTGTAGATGCATGGAGTTCTTTTTTTAAAAAATAAGCTCTTTAATTGCACACCAGTCCAAGAAATAGATTACTACCTCATGTAATTTGGGGGAAGATTATTCTCAGATGGGCTGTTAATTTAGTCTTGTAGGTGAACAGTTTGTCATTAAATGTGTATTGAAAAAAAACCCCACAAAACAGCTCAATAATTGTGCGTGCTTATAGAGTTATTATTGTCTATGTAGTTTGTACTAGGAGTGACAACTAGTTCAGTAGCAGTTTGAACTGAAAGGAAGCGTTTGAGTAGTGACTGTAGCATATTGTTTGTATGCGTCTCATACTGTGACTCAGTGATATGTTCTGCATTCTCTGTGAATTTAACCAGATATTTAAGAACCTTCTATTCCCGTTTTTGCTTTTTTGTTTCTAGGCCACTTTTTATTTTGTGAAAATTGATAATTTTTCAAAAATTGTTCATGATGGTGTTTTACTGTCAACTTTAACTTTTTATAGTAGTAAATGATGATAAATTCACATTTTAAGATGACTTTGAATTTTTTTTAGATCTTCCTGCTACAGGAATTGATTTGCCTAGAAGGAGCTATTATCCTGACTTCAAAAAATGGTGGTTGTTTTATTGATACTGGATGGTAACAGAACATGATAAAAGTCATGCTTATTTTCTGCTTTTAAAAACCATCTGAAAAGATTTAATTTAAATGTACTTTGGGAAGAAGTAGGGTTTTTCTATTGTCATTTTCTGAATAGCATGTTGAAAACTTGATTTCAAGACAGTATAGCCCTTTTTAGTTTCTTGAATATGCACACTGAGGTTGCTGTCAACCCATTTCTCCAACCTGTCAAGGTCCATTTGTATAGCAGCATGACCCTCTGGTGCATCAGCCACTCCTCCCAGTTCTGTATAACCAGCAAACTTGCTGAGGGTGTGCTCTGCCCCATCATCCACATCATTAATGATGATATTGAGCAGGATTATTGGGCTGATTTCAGATTTGGTTTTCATAGCACGTACAGTATTTTGTAGTATATTTATCACTTTCAGTTGGGTACAGGATGTTATTGCACATTTTGCTGCAAGGACAATATTTCTACTTTTTGGGGGTGCATTCTCTATCACCAATATGTTAGAAGCCTTCTAGATTTCTTCTCTTTGTGACAATTTCCATTGCAATATTTCACCACCATAACCTCCTGCAACTTGCTTTGCACTTCAGGACAGACGGTTCAAGTTCGATTCCCTTTGGAAATTAAGCTGTATGAGTCGATACTGCTGATTTTTTCTTCTGGTGTGTATATTTGCACAAAATGCTGTTTTAAAGAAGAAAATGTCCCTTATATAAACACCTTTCTGTCTTTATTCTTAGGGTTTGCTTCTGTGCCGGTGAAAGGAAATTGTTGTTCATATTCTAGCCTGGCATGGGCTTTCCAGGCACGATGTTCCATCTCTGCCCCCTGGACTGTGACAGTAGAGCAACGCAGACAAAGCAGTTTCTTCAATACGTGTAAGTCTTGAGTTGGAGTAAAATTATTATCTGTAAAAAACAGAAGAAGAAAAGAAAATTTTGCTTTGGAGAGATACAGTCATGAAAATCTATGTATAGTAACTTTTTTTATCTATTCTAGCTACCTGTCTCCTAAGATTATAGTTGCAACTACACCTATTTGACAGAAGTGCATGCGCGAGGTCAGTTAATTATCTTTTAACAGCAAGCAAGGGTTTGTTTCACGTCACAGTGAATCAATCCATCTAATACCCATCATTGGGTTGAGGGGGGAAGTACCTTCCCCTCTGTTTCATACTCTTTTATTAAGAATAAATTGTGTGTTTATTTTCTAAATTAATTTTGAGGCACAGGCAGGACGTACCATTCCAGCTGTGCTGTCTCAAAAAAGAAATAACTAAAATGCAGTAATGTTTTAAACAAAAACCTGTTGACAGTGTCCTGCTAATTGTCTGGCCGGCTGCAGTTCTTTCTTCCACATGTACTTAACATAATTGAGAAATAGCTGTTTAAATTCACACTTGGGACTGTGAACTGAGATAGCTGAAGGGGCCATTCCACCTGTTTTGTGGCTCCTTATCCTATCCCAAAGGGGATAAGAAGGAATAGTAAGAACATAATCTCTGCAGGAGATAACTGCAGCAGTTCACAGTTCCTTGACTGTTTATAATCCATCAAATACAAGACTTCTGCAGAATCAGGCTGTCAGAACTGCTGGTGGTCTCTTCCTATTCCTGTCAACATCTAAGTGGCAGAATACTGTGTTTTCTACATTTTTAATGCAGAAAAATACAAGTTTTACTACATTTTCTAAAGAAATGGTTTAAACAGTCATGCTGGTTAGCTGTTCATCTTACTCAGTAAATTCTGATCACTGATTTCAGACAGCTGAGGGTAGGGAGGTCTTGAACTGCAAAAAGCTATGGTGTGTGAACTGGAGGTTCTGCATGGTAAAAGTTTTCTAAGGATGCTAACTGCAGAAAAATATCATGTAGAACTTTTTCTTAGGCACCCAACCAGTCACAAGAGATGAATATGTAAGAAGCTAAGCGCTGTTGTTATTTTGTTTATCTTAAATTTATAATTTAGCATTGCAAGTGATTGCAGTGTGATTACAGTTTGTAGGTTAGATCGTTTCCTTAGTTATGCCTGTGTTCATATTCATGAAGTCTAGATGAGCTCTGTTTTAGCAGAAAGTTTGCCAGCTGTCTTGTTAGATGACTTAATGAAAAATGTTTGTTAGACGACTGAATTAAAATGTTTGTTGTGATGGCACCTGCATTGTCTGAATCAACAAAATTTTGAACAAGTTATATTTAGGCAACCTACCTGTAACTATTGGCTTAATAAGACATAACAACTTGGAAGAATATAAGTGTGCCTCCTTTACGTATTCATCAGATTCAGAAGATTGAGGGTTTCTATTTGAAAGCACAGTCTAAGCACGTTTTCTCTTACAGAATTAAAAAAAAAAATCTTCAAAATTCAAATGGAGTAGATAGTAACAGTATAAATCATTCATATCCTCTAGCAGTGTAGTTGCTTCAGAAGTAGTAACATTAAAAATGCAGATATGACCATTTTATGTGAAACAATTTTCAAGTGAAATGTCAATCAAATGACAGGCTCTTTGTGACTGAGAAAGGTGACCATTCCTTTCTTTCTCATTAGTGAACGTTTATTTCTCTTCCATCATACCTATAAGAATATTAACATGCTCTTGTTAGTAGGCACATCTGTAGCTTCAACGTAACTATTAAAACAGTTTAACTCATTCAAATTGACAAAATTAATGTAAATAAGAGGAATGGCAACTACCCTCGGCACTCTGCGATCCTTACCTAGATAGTTGTCTCCTGCAACTCTGAGACAGAAATATACATGAGTTTATTCTTGTCCTATGACATATTTAAGTGAGTTTGTAATGAAATAATTTTAAATGATCTTGTTATCCCAGGCTTAACTTCCGTTCCTCCTTTTTGCTTTCCATTGTCCCCACTATGGGAAACAGGTTGGTTTCCATTTACTTAAGAATTTAGAGATGCTTATTTAGAGATGTGGAAGGGCCTGAGGTTTTTCAGCTCATGCTTTAAAAATATATAACTTCCTCTGAAAAATCTTGCCTCCTTTTTCAGTGTGTCTCAGTAGCCCTGGTATTTGCAGATAATGTCTTTATTGTGCCTGTTTCAGTCCAACTTTTGTCTGAGAGGATAGGGA